TCATCGCACTTTTTTGGCGGAAAACCTGATGCAAAGTTGGGGGGCGCGAGAATTACGCGGGGAAAACTTTTCGCGAAAACATACAGAGCGAAAAAGAAAACAAAGTGGCCACAAATCAGGATTCTAACACCAGGAACTAACAGCAAGCTTCGAGAAGTACTAATTAAAACTTACCTCAACAATAAAAGCACAGGTTCAACACAAGGCAAGATTTATTTGAGACACAAAAAAGTGCAAGCCAATAGTTCAGAATTAGAATACCATACACAAAGCCTGTGGGCGTTGCGGGCGTAGCGGTAGCATTCGTCGCTCAACAGGAGCCCTCAAAAGGTAAGCGTAGGACGTCAGTTGGGCTAATGGCTATTTAACAAAAATTGTCTCCAGTTTGCTTCTGAAGAATTGAATTGAATTGAATTGAATTGAATTGAATTGAATCTTTATTTTCATGTCTGGTACAACATGAAGGATGGCGGGAGTAAAAGCTGCACTAAAACAGCTTGACTAGCTCCCGCTACCTAAAAATAAATGGGTCACAAGCAGTGGCATACAAATGAGAACAAAAGCATAATGTACAGAAATTCCCATGCTATTGGGAATAAAATAATTACATAATCTGAACGTAAACAGGATACAACAGTTCCTACGAATAGAAGAACAAAACATCAGTAGCTTGAAGAGGCTGTGTATACATGTGTTGAAAAATACATAAGAGGTCAAACGGATACAAAAGGGTAGATTTCATCATAATACAATTTATAAGAACAGAGATGCAATATTTTTTGTGGTCATGGTTTCTATATTTACGTCATTGCTGCTTAAATAATTCAACATTCTGGGAATAACACTGCGTACCATTTGGTCACCATACTTTGTGCGTGATCGTGGTATTAACCAGAGGTTATGCTTACGGGTATCGTATTTATTTTCCGAAGGTTGCAGGTTGGCTAAGTCAGATAGTACAGTTTTTTGCTTCAGCTCTTTTTTTATAGTCCTACAAATGTTGTAACTGTAAAGATTTTGAAAACTGATTAGTTTATATTTTTGTTGCATGTACATAACTGATTGATATGGTTCTTTCTTAGCAATAATTTTCAGAAATCTAGTTTGAAGTCTAGTAAGCTTCTCAATATTTGTTTGTGTTGTGTCACCCCCATACTATAAAGCAATAGTTTACATAGGACATAAATAAGGAATGATAAATAATAAGTATTGTTTTTAATGGAAGTAGATAATTGTTGCGATAAATTATACCAAGTACACGTGCCGTTTTTGTTGCCACCTGCTCTACTTGTGCATCCCATAGCATGTTGTTTGAAAATACGATACCTAATGTTTTGACATTGTCAACTATTTCAATCAGACTGTTATTAAGATAGAGCGGAGAACTTACTTGTACCTGCTTGCCTTTTGCTCGAAATATAACCGCTTTGGTTTTTTCCGCATTTATTAATAGTCCATTGGAACATGCCCACTTATATATCTTCTCTAATATATTATTTCCTTTTTAAATCAACTGGTCAGTATCGTTATGTGCAAAAAATACGCTTGTATCGTCCGCATAAATAACGAATTTTGCTGAAGGGTCTATGTTTACAATATCATTTATATACAAATTAAACAGGAATGGACCTAAAATACTGCCCTGAGGCACTCCAAGAGAATTTGGTTTAGTCACCGAAGAAAAATTGTTTATGCACACGTATTGTTTCCTTTCGCTTAGATATGAGTCGAGCAAGTCTAAAGCAACACCTCGTACACCGTATAAATCCAGCTTACGTAAAAGTAATAGTCTATTCAGAGAGTCGAAGGCCTTACTGAATCGATAAAGACACCGAGTACTAGTTGTTTACATTCTATGCTATTTAGAATGAACTCTTTCTGATCAAGGAGGGCAAGCTCAGTCGATCTATGTTTCCTGAAACCGTATTGTGCGTCACATAACATATTATGTTTGTTAATGAATTCTGCCAGCTGGGAGTGAAGAATTTTTTCTATTATTTTAGAGAATACTGGCAAAATTGAGATGGGTCTATAGTTTGCTAAATTATTCTTATCTCCCTTTTTGTACAAGATGCACACTTTAGCAGTTTGAAGTATTGCAGGAAAAATTCCTTTTCCCAAACAAAGGTTAATGATTTCAGAAAATGGTTGGGCAATTATTTCGGCGGTGTATTTAATTGGTTTGATTTGAAAATCAAAACAATCACAGCAGTTACTATTTCTAAGCCGCATGATTGTTTTATATACCTCGCTTTCACATGTAGGTCTTACAAACATAGTACTTGAGCATTTATTGGAAACGTATGATGTCGCATCAAGAGATGTTTCTGGAAAAGCTAAGTTTACTAGATAATCGTTAAATGTATTGGATAAGTTACTACCATTAATAACACAACCATTAATTGTAATTTCCGTAATTACGCTATTTGAGGTGGGTGTTCCTAACACTTTATTGATGTTTTTCCAAGTGGAAGCAGAATTTCCAGCTGATTGCATAAAAATGTTATGAAAGTAGTTTTGTCTAGCCTTTTGGATGTCCTTATTTAGACGATTGCGAAATTTTTTGAAGGTACTAAGTAGCTGTGGGTCACGAGAGACGAGAAATGCATTATACATTACATTCTTTTCATCGATTTGATGCAACAGGTCCCGTGTGATCCATGGCTTCCTAATTTTTTTAGATGGGCGGTGGGTAATTCGAGGGAAGTTATGGTCATATACCTCCTTGAATTTTTCTATGAATGTATTGACAGCAATGTTCGGGTTGTCATTTGCGAGAACATCGTTCCAGGATGTATTAATTAGTTCCTGACGAAAATTTTCAAGATTTTTGGATGTTATAGAACGCACTGGTATGGAAAGTCGTTTCTTTTTTATTCGTTGCCTAATAGCTAAAAATATGGGAAGGTGATCGCTAATGTCGCATGAAATGGTCCCAGCTTTAGTATCCTCAGAACTAATGCTCGTGAGAAAGACATCAATTAATGTAGATGAACAGGCAGTAACTCTTGTTGGCATATTAATCATGTTAGCCAATCCAAAGCTATCAAACAAACACGTCATCTCATGCTGTGAAGTTCCATTAGACAGCATGTCAATATTAATATCGCCGCCGCAAACAGTTACATGGTTATTGAGCATAGCGTGGTGAAATAGGCTCTCCAAACGAGCCGTGAAAGTTGTAATACTTCCAGATGGAGGACGGTACATAACTGAGATGACGTAATTGCTTAGGACAGCTGTCAGCATTTCACAATCAGGCTCTGAATAACAAAATTCTGTTAAGAGTTGACAATCAAAGGTTTCTTTTACAAGTAAGCAGACACCACCCCCTCTACTGTGCGTGCGATTAACACAGAAAACATTACAACCAGGCATAGAAAATGGGTTATCATCATTTGTGTACCAAGTTTCAGTCAGCATGATGATGTCAAAGCGGAAATGAAGCTCTGAAAACAAGGAATTTAGCGATGCATATTTGTTTCTCGCGGACTGACAGTTTAGCTGAAAAATTTTTATGCCAGGCATATAGTTGTCTCCAATGTATTTATGTAGATCTGATGGTAAAATGAACATGATTCCTAAAAAGTAAAGTTATGAACGATTCTGATTTTTCAAGCCAATTTAGAGAAATCTTCCTTTCTCTTCACCAGAACGGCAGGAAAACCATCTCTGCGTCTCATTAGAACTTTACCGTTCGCACACCACACAAAACGGACGTCATTCTCTCGCGCCCATTGTTTTGCCTCCCGAAGTAGAGTTCGCGTTTTTTCCAAGAAATAAAGTTTACCATCAATCCCAGTTTTAGGCACACGGAAGGCCCAACGCGTCTTGGTGGCTTTCAGCTACCGTCACCAGCAGCAAACACAAAACTCGTAGACTCTGAAGGGCCTACCGACAGCCCTGTTTCTGTTGTTTAGTGCATGATCTATCACTATCAGCTTGAAGGCAGCCGTGCAGCTTCGGTATCCCCCCATAACGTGACAAGATTACCTACACAACATACAAAACACGCCGCAACGCGCACTTGCCACTTTGGCTTGACTTGGATGGGATTGAATCTCCGTGAAATAATAGTACGCTTGATGCCTGAATTGATGGCGCCAGATGGCGCGTGCTATCATTATCAGTGGTTTGAATGAGGAGACGACATTATTGCGGCAGTTTTCAGGGGATGCAATAATTACTCGAAAAAAATATATATATATTTTTGGGCGATGTGGAGGGTGCGAGAATTATGCGAAGTGCGAGGATTACGCGAGTAAATACGGTAATAAGAGCGGGACACCACTGGCTGCACTTCAAAAGGCAACAATTACAACATGCACAGCTCAGTTGTGCCCGAAGGATATCTATGCAAACTCATGGTATATTGGCATCATAATATTCTAACGTGCATCACGCGAGAAAGACGAGGGTGACAGTGCATACGCGCATTTGCACGCTTTTATGCAGACAGTGATGACACTGTGTCCGACTCTTTTGACAGGAGGCTGTTGGCAACGCAGCTTCAGTTTCGTTTTCACGGGCAGGCAATTTTTGTGAACTTCATTTATCGGTAGAAAGATGCACTTTGGATTAAATTTTTTTTAAGGTTGAGAAGAAATATTCGCTCGCACTTCCCCCAACTAAGTAACACTGCCATTAGCTGCCACTGGCAAGAATAACTTGACCTACCTTCTTTGCAGAGGCACAAAGCCGTGCGATGGGCATTCAGGCAGTCTGTACCCATTTTCGGGCAAACCCGAGTGTCACTGCATATTAGTTTTTCAGTTATACGACGCCCGGATTATATGACGGTTTTGCGTGGTGCCCTGAAAGTCGTATAATTGAGGCTACACTGTACATGGTACCCTGCTTATAACAGACAGCTCATATAAAAGAGAGGAATTGCTGCCTGGAGCATACCTCTTAATAAAGGTGTTCAACTGCTTTACAAAGAGTCCTGTGTGTTTTTAGAGCACGGAAATTCGTGATAAGCACATTGTATTGAACCTTACCTTGAAGACTGGGAGAGCTCGCTATATCAGAAAGCATGGTCTCCAGCTTCTTTATCCCACTGCCATAACTTTTCCACAATGACCCTGCAAAACCAGAGGTGCCATTAGCATTAGAATATGTCAACTTGTGCACACGTTTTACTTACTGTGCCCTAAAGGCCAGAGGCATTATGAAACAGAGGAGTTTCATTCCTGGTGTCTAAAGGTAGGGCCTTACTTAAGCAGCAAGAACGCACGTGTCATGTCGCATGCAGCAATAATAAGTTTTGCGGCATGCAGCGTGAACTCAGTCAAACCCTTACTCTGCTGCAAATGCAGTGTTTTGCGAGGCGAATAACCTATTAGGAGCAATGATGGTAACGTTATGGAGCCATGGTGGGGGTGCCACGACTTTGCACTGAGTTCCTATAGTGCAACATCCTACTACATAACTACATAATGAGAGACATCCCACAGGGCAACAAAAGCACGACTGACAAAGAGAAACCAACATGAGCTCACGGTGTTGCTCCCACATTATTCAAGCTCATGATGTGTTATCACGCTGCCATGCGGCGACATGCTTGCCAAAGTGACCTTTGCAAGAAGGCACCAATGCGTGGCAGCTCACTTTGTACCTTAAGACGCCCCAGTATTTCACTGGTGCATTTTATATAGGCGATAATCACGCAGTTGCACAACCGTCCATATTTTGTTGTTTTCAAGCATGATAAACTGGGCACAATAGCATTTGTAAAAAGAAGTTCGTTCTTGTTACAACAATGGAATGAATGTCGCCTTGGATGCTGGCTACTTTCTGTTTAAGCAGTACGGCAACCATGAAGGTCACGGCCACAATAACGACCACTATCATTTTATGCACTAGTATATTGTTGTCTTACTTGTTAGTTCACAAAAGCAACAAACAAACAAAACTAATGCAATAAGTATGAAAGGGAACCACACTTCATTGTTATGTTGCAGCACCCACAATCTACTATCTACCATTTATTAAGATGAAAAAACCCTTCCACTATAATAGTCATCGATTTATGTGGGAGAAGTCTCAGCCTCTGCACTCTAGCACAAATCGCAGCTTCTCGGTTCCAATTGCTATTATTTCTTTGCGTGCTGCATGCTTCAACAGGGATGTGATGTAGAGCTGCGCACTGCTGTGCCACCGCTGCCGCCTCAACCAGTTTTTGCTCACACTGCTCGCTCCGCCGCCCTTAATCACTCATTCTTATACCTGCCAACTCTCCCAATTGTCTGGGAGGCTCCTGTATTTTGACCTAATCTCCCAATTGTATGAATGCTATCTTGAATCTCCCGAAAAGTGACCACCACAGCACTGTCGTATTTTTTTTTTTTTAATCACGTGCTACGTCAGCCTTTCCTGTGACAGCTGCAGTGATGCAAAAGAGCACTCGCCGCTACACTCTAGCTCACTGTAACCATACCGTAAAGTACCGCTAAGTATACTCAAGGCACTGTAGTACCATGCGCCTCCGTACCAAAAGAAGGCGACCACAACTATGTCTGCCCAGACGCTAGACCTATGCTGCTTTTTTAGGTGTCAGTTGTTCGTTACGTGATTTTCCAAGTTGCATGTTTCCCCGAGTTCAGTTGGAAAGTCGATTGCAGTTTTCAAATCAAAGAAGTACTTGCAAGTGTTTCTGGACTGAGTTTTCTGGCCGAGTTTTCCTGCTTTGTGACTTCGCCAAAAGGTGGCAAGTACTGAATCCCGTATACCATAAGCACCTGTGATGTAAGCATTTCACACGGTGGCAAGGCCGACATATCCTTTCACGGAAGCATGAGAACTAGGTTCGTGCTGCGCAATGGCAGGACAACATTGAAAGTTTTCTCCAAAAGAGGTTCAAAGACAGCGCGATGAGCACAGAATGCCTATTGACAGAATTTCTTGTGGAACACAACTTGCTGTTGAGCTTATCACAAAACCATTGTTTCAGAAAATGTTCCCAAAGTGCAAGGGTACGATGCTGTATGGGTGCAGGCGCACGACAACAACTGCCATCGTCGGAGAAATGGCTGCAGATTCCGAAAACACTATGCATGGAGGCCCTAAACTACCATGCTTTCGTAGTTACAGTGTATGGAAGCAAGGACAGCGCATCGCAAATGCCTCAGTCTGAATAATGTCAGATGTCAGCAGAAAAAGAAAAATCACTTCCCTCCCTGAGGTCTCCCAAATTTTCATCCTGCCAGGTTGGCAGGCATGCATTTTGACCAAAATGGGGAATCCTGACATAAAATAATTCACTTCACCGGCGAAGCCTTTCTCTATGTGTACATGTAATGAACTCTCTGTTTCAGTCGCTGCTGATTAGAGGAGCTCAGCCAGCAGCGCACTCACTTCTTATTCTACATCAATGTGACATCACGAAATTTTCCCAACTTTTGACTGAAATGTGCTTCAACCATAAATGATGATGATGTTTGGTGTTTTGTGGCGCAAAAGCTATTTGATGGCCAAAGAGCGATATGGACAATGATTGTGATTAGCGGCTGTATAAGGGCCTTAAAACCCCTCGCGCTTAGGCGGGTAAAAAGATAGAAGTAATAAAATTATGGCCGTGCCTGAAAAGTGTGTGGTGCTAATGGATGATGAAAGTTTATGATAATAAAAACCATGGTGAACATGTATGGCATTAGCACAAGTGCATCGACCGTTCACACCCTTGCGTCCAAGGGCCGTGAGACAAGTGCTGTGCTCAGTGTAGTCACCACAGCGGAGACCTCTCTGGAGAGGTCGTGCAACGGAATGCCCGGGTATATCACGTGAAAAGTACGGACATATCTAAAAAAAGCAAACAACGATTTATGTGTGAAAAGTGGTTCCCTACCGATGAACATTGCAAGGTGAAGTGGTATCTGTTGTCGGTAGGGTATCGGAAAGTGTTGTCTTCACAGCGCGTCAAATTCTTTACACTGTATTAGAATGTGAAGTACGGTGAGTGCTTCTCCACATCTGTCACACAAAGGTGGATCGCCCCCAGACAAAAGAAATGAATGTGTTGTGTGTGTATTTCCTGTTCTTAACCTTGAATGGATTATTTCTGTGTGGCGTGATTTTGATACTGGAAGCCAATGGCCAAATTGCGGCTTGATGACATGCAATTTATTACCTGTGTGTGTGCGTCCCGATTGCTCTGCCAATGACCCCTGAGCTTTCGTTTTAAAAAAGATTTGAAATAGAGTGCAGGAACTGGTATCGATGTATCAGAAGCAGCTTTGTTGGCAGATCCAGCTAGCTGGTCCACCAGAACCTTGAACCATAGAGGAAAAAAAAAAGGACCTAGCATATATAAGCCAACCTCCTGTGAAGCTGCTACCTCCTCGGGCTCCATTCACAATTCCCATCATGCTCTTGATTCTTCTTTTTTTGGCGTTGTGTCCCGAGCACTCCTAGGACTTCTTTCTAAGTGAGCCCCCGAAGCGGTACAGTGTACCTGCAAACAGCTAGTTGTCTACTCTTTCCGTCTCAAGCTCGATACGATCGAGCCACTGATCGTTTGCCCCAGCAATCTGGCTGCCCCCTCCATCTGAGTAGGAATAAGTAAGTTGTAACTGTTCCAGGCTGTGCTTGTTTTTTAGACTGCCACGCCTCATGCATATACTTTTGGGCCGACGACAACACCAGACATAACCCATAGAGAGCTCATGAAAAAAAGAAAAAACAAAATCACAAGCGGGCATGCTTACAAACCCCGGCAGGATTAGAAACGTTTCTTGTAGTCGGCACAATTTTCCGTTATTGCGTTGAGCAGCCATCATACTGTTGAGGTCTATTCTTGTTGGCGAGTTTATGGTGCTGACTGGGCTGCCCATCAGTGACAGCGTTGTGGCGGATTTCCTTTGATGTGGTGGATCTCCGTAGTAAATTTAGATATATCTGACATCTGATGTCTTTCACGGGCAGTATGGGCACCTACCTCCCCCAGCACTCAGTGACCGCAAGGCATACATGAGAGGTTTGTGGTCAGTCAGGACAAAGAATGGTGTACCCTCCAAGTAATGCCCGCAGCGCTGGCTTGTCCCGTAGACTGCGAACACTTGGCCCCCAAAGGTGCTATACCACTGTCCAGTGGGTGTCAGTTTCAGACACAAGAAAGCGAATGGTCAACAGACTTTGTTGATGCGTTTTTGAAATGCGGCACCCACAGCTGCGTCTGATGCGTTGACTGTAACCCAATTCGAAACTACCCATTGCAGGTAAGTGAGGAGCGCAGCGTCGGCAAGACTTCTCATGATGTCCTGGAAAGCCAGTTCGGGTATCTTTCATACTGTGGAGCTCCTTAGCAACACCTTCAGTGTGTTGACATAGAAGGTGAAGACTGCCGTTACACACAGTCTAAGCTCATTATAACAGACTCTCATAGAGCAGGCCTTAGAATAAAACGCACCGTTATTCAACCTATGCTTGGTCTGTCTATTAAATCAATGGAACGATGTTCACATTCAATGGACCGCGATACAACAAACTATCGGCTACAGCAGACAAAATTAGTGGCTTTTTTTTTTTTCTGAAATTGGGCACATAAAGCATACTCTTACTGTGTTGACATGGGATGACAACAGACTATACCACGCTGTTTGTGCCACTCTCAGCGTGCAGAGGCCACGGTAATTTTAGGTTGCAGCTGGTGACATTGGTGGCTTCTAATCAAGCCAAGCCTCCAGCCAAGCCAGTCTGAGAGCACATTGGCCACACCTATAGTTCAAGTGTTGCAGCTAACTAACATGTGGTGTAAGGTGACTGCATAACTGTTCTTAAGTGCTCACCAATCTCTTACGCAATCACACAGCCACTTGTGGCTTCGAATGTCGTTCGCTATAAGTTTTGCTTACCGGATCGGGGTGACTGACAACGCTACATGTGATCCCTGTGGCAATGAGGAAACCATTGCCCACGTTCTTTGTGACCTCCCTCATTATAGCTCCCGAAGACAACAACTTTCGGCAACATTAGCATGGTGCGACGACCAGCCGCTTTCCGAGCAGTCAATTTTGGAGTGCCAGAAGGTTCAACGTTCCAGCCAGAAACCGAGGAAGGCGCCGCTGAAGTTTCTGTGGTCAACCGGGTTGGCAAAACGACTGACACTGAGTGTGTGTGCGTTTTCCATTTTTTTCTTTTCTTTAACCATGCCTTTGATTGATATGTGGGGTTTAACGTCCCTAAACCACCATATGATTATGAGAGACGTCGTAGTAGAGGACACCGGAAATGTTGACCATATGGGGTTCCTCAATGTGCACCCAAATCTGAGCACACGGGCCTACATCATTTCCGCCTCCATCGGAATTAACCATCCCTTTCCCTCTTTTTTTTCTCCTCCTTACCTTTTCATGCTCATTCCCTATTCCCCAGTGCTGAGTAGCAAACCAGATTTTTTCTTCTGGTTAACCTCCCAGACTTTCACTCAACCTTAATCTCTCTTTTTACACACAAATTTATTTTCCAGCTGAACGTAAATTAAACAAAATGTTCCTGTTTATGATATGTGTCAGACGTTCGTCACTCTGTTTTGTTAGGATCACAACCAAAACTTAGAAAATTAAGACGCTCTGGTGCTCCAAGCAGGCGAGTTCAATGACAAATCAGGATATTAAAGCGAGAGGTGCCTTGGTGCTGCTCAGTTTAAACCTTTCAGACCAACTTTGTATAGTCCAGCGAGCCATGGAGGCTGGGTGCATAAGTTGTCCATGAAAAAAAAAAAAAAACAAGCCTCTCGGACTATTTCTTTTTCGTTCGCTCCCCTTGTAGGCCTCACATTGCAATAAAATGCAACAAAACTACAGTATTTACTCGAATCTAGGCCGAGCCCGATTCTAAGCCAACCCCCAAAGGTACGAAACCCGGGGGGAAAAAAAGGTTACCTCAAATGTAGGCCAGACAAAACAGCCGAGACAGCTTTCACAAGGAGATAACATCTAATGAAAATAAAGATCAAACAAGACAGTTGGTTGACAATGCAAATAACTAAAAAAAAATAAAGCCGCTAGTCCACTGGTGTTTCTTTGTTGTTGTTTTTTTTTTTGTGCTGCTTCTAGCTATTTGCATCATAAAGATGTCGCGCTCATTCTGAGTCGTCACTGACTTCTTTGTCGCTGTCTTCAAACAGTGCGCAATCATCAGTGCCATCAAGCGCATTGGATATGCTACACTTCTTAAAAAAGCGCACAATCAAAGTTCTCCTGTTGCCGTCCCACGCTGCGGCCCCTCCACAGACGCACCTTTCTTTCGTTCACTCCAAAGCCCCGCTAGGCTTGAACATTTGACGACAACTCCGTGGCTAGGACAACTTTCCTTTTATAAGCGGCACTATTATGACACAGTCTGTTTAGAGCATTGAGCTAGGCCACATACAGACCACTCAAAGCATGACTCGAAACATGACAAACGGCTCGCCTCTACCACAACCTACTGCACTCCTGACCTGCCCAGATATCCCCTCTCCAGCACCCACGCCTAGTTCGTACCCTCTGCCACTGGGGCCATAACCTAAGACCAGCGTGGCGCTAGTCAACACCTGTTCGCTGACGTAAGTTTCGGCGTTTGTGGTCATGTTTTGGCCAACGGAGCCACTCATTGTAGCAATTATTACCAATAAATGCAAGGTAAGTCCAAAATAAATATAGTAGAAGTCATTCAGAATTTTTTCGCAAATGAATGGACGCGACGCCACATAGGCAGTCCTACACTATGTGAGTCTACGGGTTCCCACGTTTGTCAACGGTGAGCAATAAATACTTAAATGCACTTAATAGCTTACTTGACCAGCTTTCTAAGTGTGCAGAAGTAGGCCCATATGTGCCGGTAGTTCATCACAGAATGCAGTTCTTACTCTAAACATCTGTAGAGTAGAAAACAAACAGGTTATAGATGAGAGCACGTCTATCTCGCACACAGGCTCCTTCGGCGCTATACTCTTGCTCCCAGAGCTGCCATAATTTATTCTGAACTGCCAAGGCAGGCCTTGCTATTATTAAGACTTCTTTGTTCTTTATTCTTCTTCCGGCGTTTGATGATATTTCATAGCTAGCATGGCAAGCAGTGGCTCTGGGACTTTGAAATGCGAAAAAGCGACTTTTTGTGCTGTGCTCGCTGATAAGAAGTCATCTGGGTACCACTGCGCCGTCTTCAGATGTAACAACAACCAGTGCAAAGATTGCTGAGAACTGCCTGAGAAGTACACAATGCATCGGGGGAATCGTGCCGATGCAATATTTTCACCTTTCACGTATTTTCATAAGCAACAAAAAGCGTCGAGTTTCGTCACCAATGAATAATTGCCATGAACAGATTAAGACTACGAGCCTAGTAAATATACACGAGTACGTGCACTTACTGTATCTATTCAAGCGCAAAGCCAACTACAGCGCTAAGAAGAAATCATCTGGGCACCACTGCGCAGTCTTCGGATGCGAACACAACGAACGCAAGAGTAAGATATTACTCAGCACTGTCTGGAAGATCACAACATGATGCAGCAATCGTGCCGGTGCGGTGTTTGCCAATCGCGCAGATTTCCACCCGCAATGAAAAACATCGAGCTCCGCCGCCAATGGATATAATCGCAATCGGCAGTAAATATACTTCAAGCGTTCATTCAAGCGCAGAAGCCATCTGTTCGCTTTACAGCAGCGATTGGCTTGCAGTATGCCTGTATTTTACGACACCAAATCATTGCCGTACTCTTTCGCAGGCCGCATGCCAATAATAGGATATATTACAACTTGGCATGGATGCATGCACCGCACTCTTCAGTACAATTGTAACGGTGTACTATCGCGAGGAAAAGAGATGTGAACGGCTCAAAAAGCATGGCTTTCGACTCAGTTGAACTGAAACATGCCTTGACTGTCACTAGGCGAATCTGTCCTTCGGCCGGCACCACCGTAGCATTTTAAAATCTAGTTCTGGCTGGCACTTTCGCACTGCGCGTGTGCAGAGTGCTCGGCATCACTGGCAAATGATAAACACATGCGGTCCATGAGCGCAAGTTCTAGCGGGATTCTAGTGCTACGTTGACGCCGGCTTACAGCACAAATTGTGCCTTGCCACAGTCAAGGCAGGCAGCAGTTTTACTGAGTCTAAAGCAATACTTTCCACTGCCGTGTGTCTTTCAATCGCGATAGTAGGTAACTTGACCTTATTTTCCTTAAAGACCCCTCTAGGGAGTATTACATAAGAGGTGGGTTAACATATAAAAAAGTTTATTGCCACAAGTTTTTATCTTGAAAAATGGGCACATAATTGATCAAAAAATGATGCTGGGCATTCAGTGATGACAGTCATTCCAGTCTTTTGCTGTCCGTACAATGAAGGACTTGGAAAAGGTGGTCGTCTTTATCTGTGGCTGGGCAACTTGAAGTGATTGAAAAGTGCGGTGAGATATGCGGGACGGTGGATTGATGTATGGATAGTTGCTTCCGCTGTCTGCAATGCATGTGCTGTAGGCATTCCGGACTGTCGAGAAAGGTCTCCCCGACATTTTACACGACAGCACAAAATTCCAGGAAAGGAGAAGTGTGAAACATGCTTACAGCTGGACTCAGGTTGTAAAGTTTCATGTTTCCTTGGCGGAGAGTCTGCTTGCGTGGCAGTACAGGGTGTTGCTTTGCCGCGCTTGCAACAGATGGCGCGACACACTTTTCAATATGTCAGCAAGCACTGGGCTCACTGTGTTCTGCTGGGTAAATAACGCCACCAACAGTGAGCGGTCGAACTAGAGCGGGGACACACGCTCCCACAGGAATCCCCCGATCTGGGCAGGTCGGGTATACAGTGGGACGTGGCTTCAACACTCGCTACAAAGATCAAAATGGCGGCCTCCCGTGTGTACTTAAGCTGGGTGTCAGCTCGGCTACTAACGAACATCGAATGGCACATTTTTCAAAATCCTTGCATCTAAGCCTACCCTGGAGTTCGATGCAAAGAAATTTGAAAAACTATCAGCCTAGGTTCAAATAAATATGGTAACTAGCTCTTTCCTCCTCCTCCAATTTCATTATATCGATACAATTGTACTAAATTTTGTATAACGCATGTTGAGATGTTTTCACAGTGGATACATAATACTATACCTAAAAGCCTGAGGAAGCAAACAGCGTTGGGTTGGCATAGCAGCCACTTCACATGGGGGCCCAGTCGCTCTACAAGAAGCCAAGTCCGCAGGACAACTGGTGACCATCTGGATAGAAGCTCCAGAGCCGCGCGATGGGTAGTACAGTCAGCTGTAAAAGGGCAACAGTCTTTTATACAAACAAACAAGAATAAATGACTCCCAGTCATTTTATTTAAGACCAAGTTATGTGGTACGACCTAAAAATTGCCAGGCCTAGGTGAAACACCCAGCACAGTCACAGCGAAAGCCAGAAGAATGACTCTTGAGAGCCGGTTGTAAACTCTCTTGGGGCAACGAATAGAAGTACACACGCAAGGTACCCACTATGCTATAAATCATAATACTTTTGGTGAAATAGGCAAGCAATCACATTATTCCTCATTATGTAGAGGTGTGTTGCCCACTGCACATCTATAAGGCTGCATGGACACTTTGAGCAGTGACTGAGCTGTGGAGAAAATTACTTAATTTCTTCAAAAATAATCATGCTTTAGCTTTTTAACCAGCATATCAGTAAAAGTTCTAGTTTTTTTTTTTAAAGCCTAATGTAAAGACAATATCATTAGTTTCTGCCACCCCATGCTAACAAAGTTACATCATTGACATTTGCCGCACTTTAGACATTTATCCTCCTGAATTATTTGAAACTTCGAATACAGTCCAACTGACTTCCCAGATATAACATCTCAACAATCCCAGATATAAGAGTATATCGGTTATAATGACCATATTTTGGTGCACTTACAATTTCCCTATGCTAACCTTTGCAACTGAGTCCACATACAACGAACATTTTTCAAAGCCTCCTATTTTTGCAGCGAGCATTTCAGACACGGTCACGGTAAAAATATAGCACATATCAAGCGGAAAAAAAAAGTTGAAACAGGTATTCTGAAGCATGTGATCGACACATTCGCGTGTGCACCGCTGCAGTTTAATTGGGGCTAAGATATTAAACACTGCCGCGAGCACCGCACACAGATTTCGAGTGAGCCGTTCCCTTTCCAGGCGTTTCTGCATAGGCAGAACTGAAGGGATGGGTAAAAAACAAAATGAAAGGAAAAATATAGAAGGCAACAAAGATTTGCGGTCAGCTTTCGCACAGCGAACAGTTCTGGTGCCGTTCTTGGCACATACGACCGCCGACAATAAACCATCAATGCCTTCGAACAAAAGAAGCCATAAATGTGAGAAGTGAGAGCTTTTGTCGCGTGAAAGTTTACTGCGCTGCTCAACTCTTCCACACCACAATGAGCTGTTTGAAGTTTAAAACCATATGGTAATGGCAAAGATTGGTTGATTAATAGGGAGGTTTAGAATAGCGCACCGCGAGCCTTTGCGGTGCGGTCGCTGCCACTGCGCATGCGTCGTAACGCGAGCCACCGTTCGCGTTCGCGGCCCACCGTTCGCGTTCGCGGCCCACCCGCGAAAAATCTGAAATAGTGTGCGGCGATCGCAGGCCTCGTGGGCCGCGAAATGCTTTCTGTAGCGTCCGTGCATTTGGGTTTGCAGGTCGAAGCCAAAGCTTCTAGACTTTTCCTTAGGGGGAGCAAACACTATTATAATGCTTATATGGCGCCCACAACTAAAGAAACGCCCGCAACACCTGCAAACGTTATTCTAAACCTCCCTAGTGATAACGACTTCCACACGGTTGTCGCGGTGCCTTAACAAATAAGTATATAAAAAAGCAATAGCGAGGTGGTCGGTAGCGATGAACGTGCCATTTTGACTCAATGCCGGCGAGCTTATTACAGTCACTGGCAGATATTTGCTCAGCAGAGCGACAGTGGTACAAAGCCGGCATGGTGCCGCGTGTTGTTCACAAAATTATTCGTTGTGGTAAACGAACAAGCTACCCATTGCACCCGAGCATAATCCCAAGTGAATCAAGCACGAAGAACGCACAAACGTGTACCTACATTGGACTGCAAGCGAACTGAGTAGCTAGAGTAAGCGACATGTTGCACGCAACTAGCCAGGTTTGACCACTATGTAGATGTTTTTTGGGTGGCTCCATATACAATGAACTACTGATATAGTAACAACCATTTATCGCGGCACTTTTGAGTTCATTATCAATGGTTTGACTGCGCATTCGATTTGAACTTCAATATTCGCACACCTCTAATTTTTTTTTTTTCCTACACCAATGTCTTTCTTTTTTTTTATGTTTCACTACATCGGTGCGCAATCTACTTCCGGTTTAATCGTTCAGCTGGTTCCCACTTGTTGCAGCCACAAAACTGAGGGCTTTCTGGTATAGAATTTAAAAAGGCGACCACTTCATTGCTTTCTCATTTATTGGTGCCCAGTACATGATTATGCGTGTTTCCGTGCAGAGGCTGAGTGACAAACGATGTCGCTGTGGTTGCATTTCAAATTTCGGGGACACAAAAACCACTTTTGTCTGATTAGCGATAGCGTGAGTAATTATTATAGGTTTATGACTTGTTTTTGGTTTTCTTCAGAGCGCTCACCCGCGCAGTTTGCTTTTGCTATGGAAATGCATACTGGTTGCTCTGCTGCAAAGGAGTCAGTGGGAATTGCTCCCAATTGCTGCTGGACTGCCGAATCAAAGTCTGATTCAGTAAATATCCGCCCATCATATGAGGAGTTACACGAGTCAAGACTTTGGTGTTGATGAGCAAGTGACATCTCAAAAGCTTGCACGGTGACACAATGCTGACTGGATCTAAAGTGAACTTTCTTCCTCAGTGTTTCTACATGATGCCACTTCAACTGCTCATTCTGGTATGTCTATGAACTACACAGATATTTGTAGCAGCGTATAATTTTTAACAGTCATTTAAGCTTCTTTTTTTTAATCTTGCTGTTACTCATGAATAAACCATGTGTATGCAACAGTAGAAATGATTTTGTCACTTTATGATAACCTAAAAAAAATTATGGTATTTTTCTGCCATAGAATTAACTGAAGAACTTGAAAGAAGCTATAAAAAAAAATCTACCCTGGTGTGTCGCACTTAGTGAAAAATTCAATCCTCAAAGTGTTACGGGAACACCAAAGTGAAATAACGAGTCGTTAAGGTTTTAGTGTTCTCTGAGAACTCTATTGTCAATTTCACCACCATTAGTTTATCAATAAAAGAGGAAACACAGGTCAAAATTCCAACTTAAAATTTTGCACCGAAATCTTCACGAATGACATCAGCAATTTTTAAGAGCATTTGTCATAATACCACACTTCTTCCTCCAATTTTTGCTATCAGCCCATTGCACTTGTAAGTGCTATGTAGCACAAACTGCAAAAAACGACTAAGAAACATCGAGATAATCTTTGAACCCTTTGATGCGACTAAGCACACAACGCAAACATTAGCTTCTTCTGGAACTTACGTGGCTATATACTAATAAACCCTGGAATATTCGACGGCACGTGTATGAGTGTCAAGGCGCTTCACTGCTTGCAAGTTTTCGATGAGCGGCGCTTTGTGTGCCGTTATCGGTGTACAGCGTGCATTGCTAGCTGTAATTTGAGCTTCCATTTCAAGTTCAGCCAAATATTATTTTCACCTTGAAGACGCAGATTGCTGCCGTCATCAATGTCAGAGCCACGTAACCGTATTTTGGCGATGTTGGCTCAACAAAATTTCTTGAAACTTGGTGCATTAAGTCTATGGCTTCTTCCGGGGTCACCATTCTTAATTTTTGCCTATTTAGGAGCTATGTGAGTCTCAGACTATGTAGTCAAAATCTTGATCTCACGGCATTTGTGCGAGAATTTCAAAATTACGTCACCACCCACATTTTTTTTTTTTTTTTGCGCTTTATAATCGCTTAAGAATCTCCTCACAGCAAGCATCAAAATTTTGAAATTGTGAGAGTAAGTTACTAATAAAGGCAAGGGTGTTTTCTTCTTCTTTAGTGTCCTTTTAAGCAAAAAAAAATGGGCACGGGATGTCCAAGTAACAGTGTAGGAAAGAGCGTATGCCAAATGGAGGGGAAAAAAAAAAACCGCCAAGGATGGCATTGCGGGTCTAGTAAAATGATGTAATTGGGAAGTTCGCAGGGAATGGAAGTGCCTGGTGCAAAACAGGGGTAAACTAAAAGCATTAGGAGAAGTGTTCATCCTGCAGTGGACATTAAGTAAGTAGGCCGTAAATGATGATGGTGAAGACAGTGGGTATCAGAGGGCATAGAGTTTCCTGCAATCACCTAAAGAGAACTCTGCCACTGCAATCGTTCAGCCACCATGAGAATGATGAGTAGTACACGGATTTGGCTAATTGAATTTTGGTGTTTGTTTTGAATAAAGGAATGGACCGTTGTAAACTTCATGAGCAGACCTGAATTGGTGAGCCAAAAAATTTAAAGGTGGTGAAGTAGAACTACTGAGTGTTCGCTGAACTTCGCCTTCCGACAAAGCGGCTCCAGGCCACACTGAGCCAAACAGAGCTGAAAGTACAAAGCTTTAACAAATCCATGTACTACCAATCATTCCCATGGTGGCTGAAAAGCCATGCATTTCAGCTCCCATAGAAACTAGGGCCAGAGTTTGTTCTAGCATATAGTCATCGTCCGATTTTTCGGACGCCCGAAATTCCGGACATACTTGCTTTCTCGGACTCATTTGTGGCACTGTCAAGTTCCCCATGGAGTCAATGTACTAAAGAGTCTGGAATTCCGGACGTTCACAGCTTTTGCCATCTGACTTTCCAGACTTTTTATTGCCAACCGCAGACTCGATGTCACTAACGACACCCCCATATTGGTTATTTCTGGACCCCCGAACCCACCGTGCCGCGGCTGCCGTACCCTCGAAACTGAAAACTGTGCAATCCAGAGCACACCAATCCATTGCCAGCGGTAGCTTAGGCCACACTGTGCTGTGCCAAAACCTCCTTGGCTGTGCAGCCTGTGCTCCGACAGTGGGAAAAGCTACGCTGTTGACTTATCGTCTGCGATCGGTCTGCTAGCGAACTCGTGGAAGTAACAGACCCTCCCGAACTGCTTGCGCCACACGAGCTTCATAGTGGAAACTGAGATGGCCGTCTCGCCCGGAGTGGACAGCCTGTGCAACAAACTTCTACCCGCGGACATTGCCTTCGACGATCTGCACGTTGCCGGTGTTTCGATTCCAGCTGGGATAACCCTCGAAGGCTTCACCGACGCTGACAAAGACCTCGAGCTACGTGCGGAATCGACCGATAATGAAATCATTCGTGAAGTTACGAATGATTCCAACGACTCCGACACCGAGATCGAAAAGGCAGCCCCAACACAGCCAAAGAGCTCATAGTTGGCGCGAGCACTGAAACTGTCATCGGTGTACAGCGACAGCATGACGTTAAATGAAATTGAGGCAGACATCATCGTGGACAAGTGGAACGCTGTGCAAATGTAAATAGGCGGGTTATTTTTTGCACCTAAGTGTATACAAATGCGGTAGTACCGGCCACATCGGACTTTTTCTTTTTTGAAGATTATAGTATTTCTTGGGATACCTTAAGGGGGCAAACTGGTTTTTGGGACCAAAAAGTGACAAAAAATTTCATTTTTTATAATTGACATATTCGGTTTCTGCAAGTATTTTTTTACCTCTCTGTAAATTTTCGCACGGGAAGTGGTATTTTTTTTTTTGTGTGCAGTCGAGCCCACATATAACGGCCCCACTTAAAATGAACTTTCACTTAAAATGAACAATATCCGCGTGACCCTGAAAATGTACATTGGTTCAATGGCACAAAATCGCACTTACAACGAACGTCTCCGAGCGCCGCTGATCGGTTACAGCGAACGAAGTCAGCGGTCTGCAGACTTCCCGGGAAACCGATTTCTACCACTGATCAAGCATCGGCGAGGTGCCCATACATTCCATTGTTAAACGTCGACCCTGCCACCGCGACCCTCTAGTTGCCGCTCTCCCCAACCCATGGAGGAAGGAACTTTCTCCATGCCCTGACTGCTTTTTGTTACGCACCCCTCTGTCCTTCGTCCCCCCCCCCCGCTACTCTGAGCACCCCGCATCGCCAGACGAGGCCCGTGTTTTCACACTGCCACCGATCTTTCGAAGACCGGTTGGCCATCTACCCTATTTTTGATCGCCGGTACTGTTGGTGCATCGCCGGCCTAAATTGACCAGACCATTTGCCTAGATCGTCGACCATTGACTGTATCCAATAGTCTGCGTCTAGTGCACGCGCGTACGCTACCCCACCGGCTCTGATAATTTGCGATTCGTTTCGTGTTTAGGACTTGTTCTCACTCACTTCGCGCTCAGCTCAGCATGCCTTCCGCGCGCGTGCGGAAGCGTGAAAGCTGCTGTTAATTTGCGCGGAACGAATCGCGAAATATCGAAGTTCGTGAGGCCACACAAACCCGCCGGTGCAACAAAACGATTTTTTGACCACGGCCGCCGATTCTTTGAACACCGCCACGCCCACCGGTCCAGGCAGCCATGCTTCGACTTCTGCACGCGCAGGCACTTTTTCCAATTTTTTCTACGAGCGAGTATCGCGGACCTTTCAACCAAGTTACCCAACCTGCCTGCTTCCCGCGTGTTTTGGTTTTCAAGGTTGCCCTCCCGCCGCATCCTCGCCTCTCTTTATCGCAACTCTTTGCCTTTCTCTCACAAATCTGCTCTCCTGTCTTGATCACAACCCCTTTGCCCATCTCCACCGCTCCACGACGCCAGCCACGCTGGCTCGAATTAGTTTCGTTTTCTAACTAGAAACGGACCCATAGCTGTTCTACACGTTCTGGTATATGTGTCGCATGCGCGCATCTAGCTCGCTCTTGGTGTGCGTATGTGGTCACGATGGCTGACGGGAGGACTTGCACGCTTTTTCCTGCTGCTCAACAAAACGTTAAAATTGTGACCGCTTGGCTTGAGCATAATACGCGCGTTAAGTGACCTGTTGCGAAGTGCTTGCTCATAGCTGTTGACCACCTGGCAGCCAACTTGCCGCTTCGGGTGTTCCGGTATTCAGCTGTGGAGATGGTGAATATTGCATGGGCGGCAGTGACGGTTACATACGCGCGAAGCTGTTTTCGCGAGGCCGACTTCGTCGACGTTGGGCCCGATGCCATGCCTGAAGCTTCCGAACTGCGGCGGCGATTTGTGGCAACGCGTCGTTGACTCTGACCTGGGAGAGCGGGTGAGACATCTGTTGCGATGGTTTAATTACGGCCGATGATGATACCGACGCTGCGGAACCGTGCACGGATTGGGGCATTGTGAATAAAGTACATAGCGAGAGCGATTTGGAGGAATCCAATTGCGAGAACGACGAAACTTTGGGGCCAGTGCCTCATGCAGCTTATGCCACGGGCCTCGGCGAACAAGCACCCTGTCGTTTCGTAAATGAACTCCAAGCCGCCCTTATCGCTTCTGCTCTTCGAAACACGTGCATCATGGACTTTTTGGCCCAAAAAAAGTTTGTGTTTTCACTCGCAACTTTTTTTAAAAGCTGCGTTTCATTTACTACAAACTTCGGTATACAGCGAACGGATGCCACGTCACGCTCAGGTTCATTATAGGCAGGCTCGACTGTAATGTCATTCTAACTGTCCAGATTTTTGTGGTGTTAACATGCAGAACCTGCGAAAAAATGGGGAACCGACTTCGAGGCTTCTTTATAATTTGCCGGCAACTGTGTTAGAAGCTCTGCTACGAATTTATGAGCACCTTTATAAGGATTGCAAGACATACGCACCATAATTCTCACTTTTTGAAGAAGCTGTGTTTTCATATTTTTTTTTTCATTTTTCTCAAAAGTGTAAATTTATGAGTGTTCAATTTTGAGGCCTCAATATCTCTGCAGCTGGGGCAGGTAAAACAATAATTCTTTTTGCAATGGAAACCTGTATGTGTGTAGAATGCAAGTATGGGATCAGAATTTAGAGCACAAGCCTTTTTAATTAATTATTCATCAAAATTGTAACACAATTCCAACTGCTTCTGAAAATGGATAGTTCATTTTGCTGTGAAATAACCAAGAAAGGCCTATAAACAAAAAAGTCTTGCATACTTATAATATATAGTCATTAATCTATGTTGGCATATCTTGAATATTACTTTTAATTGAGCACTTTTTTTCTATGGCGGCCTTAAACGATAGGGGGTGAACTTAGGTTATCTCAGGAACAAGATGAGTTTCAGGAAAACTACTTACATATTTGAAATCAGCAGAATAAACTGCATAATCCTGTGCAGTTTGATCAAGATCACTGAAGAAATAAACAAAATGTATAAGACCAGTCTGCCCCCTTATCGCAAAAATTTTGGTCTTGTCTGTCCATGTGTCAAGTGAAACGGTTCAAGTACGACTACATCCACAGTGCCCCATCAACACTGAAGTTTCTGCGTCCAAATGTGTATCATTGTCGATTCAAAAGAGAATACTGCACATATCTGAGGCACAATGTTAACGCGCCAATATTCTGTGGTTTTTATACTAAAAAAGGCACACATGGGTAATGCTAAGAACTGTAGCGTTTATTACGCTGCGCTGACAATGCGACGTTATGCAAGAAAAGGAGAGTTTCCTACGCATTGCTAGGACGATACGGTGCTACTACCTACTTTAAAATCTACAAAATATGGCCTCCGAATTTTGTCTTCTGAGATTACCGACGGATGGCGCTCATGTCTCACGCAGCGCTCCCAGAATCCCATTCACTGATTTTCTCGCGCAAAACATCAAATAGATGCTTTATTCTATGCACTCTCTCCAGACAGGAGACTATCGTCTTTCGACTAAATTTGCAGTCAAACATGCCGATACAAGGCCTTTTTTCTATTTTCTTTTGGCTCATTTCAAAGCCACTTAAACGATGCCTTTGTCGAATTGCAATGAGAACCCTGTACTTTTGCCCCGACCCTCACAGTCAGCGAAAAAATACCGATTAAAAGTGTGTTTTCGCTTGCATTCCTTTTCCAGACTGCCCGATTTCCTGGACGTTTTCGCGGTTCCTTGAGGGTCCAGGAAATCAGACGTCGACTGTATTGTACGAAAGTATATGTCAGTGCATAAAGAAACCATGAGTCCCAATTCACAGCTCACCTGTGCATGATTGATGTGGAGACAAAAGTGGGACCAGTAGCTCATCAAAAAGTTCCCGCTCATCTCCTTCAAATTCCTGCAGAGGGCCCAGCTCACGAAGTGTCTTGAAGGCCTGTGCTTGCAATGAAACATTTAAAGTGTGTGCCGTGCTGCGAAGCAGGATGTAGCCAAGAGCCTTCTGCACTGGTCCTGCGATGGACATCCAAGCAGTCAGTGGACACCTCGAACAAAGTATCGCCGATTACGTCTGAAGCTTGACCGTCTCCGTAGAAGGCAAAGCGTGATGGTTCAAAACACACAACCTATGTCAGCTCGGGGAACTACAACATAATTTGCAGCAAGGAAAAAGCCACCAGGCAAAGAAAAGAGCCATCAAACTCAATGATGGGATAACAAGAAATGCAAGAAATATGTTCTGTTTGTCACTGCACAGCTCATGCTTCCGCTTATGCCCACAAAATGATTCACAGTCTTTAATAATTAGGATTGTGTGAATAGCGAAATTCCCGCTCATATCTAATTCGAATAAGTGCCAAATGGTGGCCAAAAATATCATATTGAATACAAAATATTTTACTAAAATTTGAAGAAAAAAAAGAACAAAGAAATAAAATCTGCTCATGCCCTTGAGCGCTCAACGCAGTGAGTGACTGCCAGAAAAAAGGCTACAAATTGTCACGCAGAAACGCAGGCTGTCCCACGTGACCTGGCTTCAGTCTCTTTTGCCGTTATGTCACGGTGTCTCCTGCTCTCACTGGGCACCTTAGTAACAGGTAAAAAAAAGGTGTTGCAAGGCAGTTTTGGTGATACCTAGAAAAAATGCAGCTTATTGCTCTTTTCAGTATTTCAAAGGACTGTTCTTAAAATCAGGAGCTCATTAAAGTAATTTTTTAACCTCTTGCCTGTAAGGTCTGAGCTCAATGTGCTGTCTAGTTTATGATCCTAGCCTCCCATTCTGTTCTCTGGCCTCCTTTGCTTGAGCCATGATGTGCAAAACTGGAATAAATACCTTTAAATATCGCTGAAAGTTTCAACGAGAGCCCACCTGTAACAATGTAACCCACTCTAATCAAGCTGCACCACTAACCTTTGTCACCTTTTAGATATTCATCCATATGAATATCTAAAATTTGAATATTAGCTATTTGAATTTGAATATTAGCATTTGAATATTATTTGTTCAAAAGTCAAACCAAATTTTTCAATTATGCATTATTCAATTTGAATTAAAAACTCAAATGTTCACACACCTCTACTAACAATTTCATTAAATGAAGCAAATTCCCTTTGTTCTTAAATTCTTACTGAGGGAGACTCGTTCTGCTAGACTTGATACCTTCAGGTAGCATGCAAAGAATCAGTGGTCAGCTGTCCGCTCGGTAAGGTTTACATGCTGTGTGGTCCAGACAGGCAAAAAAAAAATTTTTTTCACACTCGCCGTCATGGCTTCGTGCAGCACTAACACACACCCAGTGTCTGCACGCACATCAATACCCCATGAAAGTGGACAAAAGGATGACCTGGGCCACAGCTCAATGGTAAGAGCATCGAGCCCATAATCCAAAGGTTAAACACTCGGTCCCTGCTGGTGGCAAGTTGCATTTACGTCCACTTGGCTTTCTTTACACCTGTATTGCAGTTACTGTAGTACAATTACGAACAGTCCAATTAATGTCCCCCTTAACTTTCTTAACTTCATTGTCTGCTGGTTTCCATGAAGGTTGTAATGAACAAAAAAGGAGCTCTCAAGAATTCCTTCCTTCCTTCATTACTGAATGCTTGTATCATATAATTGCTCATTACAAATATGAAGTGTCCACAGTAGACACAGAAAGCTTACACTTACACTGCAGGAATGGCAAATTATGCAGCTCTTCATAACCCCAAAGAAAGCTGCCCATACTATGTGCCAAACTTGCTCCGTTTAGAAAGTTTACAATCTTTTTTTGTCAACTAACAAATATCCTACATGCAGGTAAGTTGACTTGCATGCTACTATACAGTTAAACCCCTTTGTAAGAGGCATGCTCTGGGCAGCAATCCTGGTCTTTTACATCAGATGTCTCATATAAGCCAGGGACCTCGTATACATTTTCTTACAACTCGTATTTTATTGTAGACATACTGGTGTCTCTTATATCAGTGTCTCTTATAAAAAGGTTCGACTGTGTTATAGTGAATGACAGAAACGTCATGGGACTTCCCGACCTAGAATGTGCTCACTGGTTTTGCTCGAGGATATTTAGGGCAACCTAGGTCCTTTGAATGACACCACCTTCTTGCTCAATGATTCCCACTGACAGTTGCAAATTGTTGCACACCAGGTCATAAAGGGTGGCACTGAAGACACAAAAACAATGCACACAAAAATATGAGATGAGCTCTTCACATACTGAAACGCGTCAAACGAATCTGGGTGTAGCACACTAAAAAAAAGAGCGAGTAAAAAGGGTGTCTTTTTGTCCCACAACAATAATCGTCATCTATATTGTGTTCCATCCTTGCGCTATCGCCCCGCGCCAGGTACATTCCGGTCACGATCAACATGCCCATTATCAGGGTTACATTGCATTCTCGATAGGAAAGTGGCCAGCGCCGAGTTTTCAAGAAAGGAAGCGCACGCAAGCCTGATGATGATTATTGTTGTGGGACAAAAAGACACCTTTTTTACTCAATATTTTTTTAGAGTGAATGCACAGTTGTTGACCACGTTCAAAAATATTCTGGCATACCTCGTGTGGTATAATTCTCGAAAACAGTACAGAAACACACACAAAAAAAATTAAGAACTGAACTGGCGAGAAGAATGCAGGAGAAGCCAGTGACTCATTTCTGAGACTGGCATCCCCTGCGACAACAAAGGAGGAGCATGCGCAGCAACTACTCACATAGATTAATGGTGAACTCACACACTTTTCTAGTACAAGTTTCGAGATACCGGAGGCTTCTATGCTTTTCCTTTCCAGCTGCCTTTAAGCTTTCCCAATAATAGGTAGAAACACTAAAATGAGCGAGTGCCCAAGTGGGCATTCAGCACAGCACAGAGAGAGCTCTACAGACAAACCGCCAACATAGTTTATTAAAGAGCATTATTACGATTTTGAGGCACCACAATGGTGACATTTTTCGTTTCCCTGGCATGCAGTGTTCATGCTCTCCACCTATTATAGCCAGGAAACAGATAAAATATTTTTAATGCTTTTATTGCCCAGCACCCCTTTGCAATGGGCATTATCATGACAAGTGAAACCAGCTACCAAAACCACTGTGGGAGTCTCTAAAGAACCATTCACTCACTGTTAATAATGTGTGCTACTGTACACATTCATATAGTAGCCAGATGGCACTCTAAAAGAGCAGTAGAATATGATTGCAGCTAAGTGTAACATTTAAAGAGAAAGGGCATATTCATTGACTTTCATTTATGGCTGCAAGGCCTTTCTCTTCATTTGGCAACATCTTGCTGAAGTGAGGAAATTATTAACAGCCCCAACTGGTCCACACGCAAAACGCCATTTGCCAATGCACTTCTACTTTGTTCACAATAGCCAATACAGGGATGAACAGTTAATGTTCATGTTGATTCTCACTAACTATAACTTTCCCTCAATAACTAAAGAGTAATAGTGAAAAAACAAATGGATACACATACGAAGTTGTCGTTATTCAATCTTTTACAATGTGGCATTCAACATGAACAACACAAATATTCATTACTAATGATGATAACATGCACAACGTTCTGCAACTGCTAGTTAAATATTCACTTAGCCTCCTGTTTTGACAGCGAAAATGCACTCACCGTGTGGTAAAGCAGAAAGCAGACCAGGCCAGGCACCAACAGCTGAGGCCACCAGAAAAGGAGCATGGCAGGAAGACAGCACGTTCCAGACTGTGGCCAGTGCCACATTTTCCTGTTTGAGCTCCCTGCACAGGGCGCACGTGAGACGCACGTACGACGCCTTTGTGAGCATCTTCCATGACTCGTGTTGGCTCTTGAATCGTGCCCGCAAGGATGACAATAGAGCAGCCCATCCATTAGTCTTCAGTGACAGTCCATCGAGCAGCAAAGCTTCCAGTTTAGTGATCAAGGGCGGGCTCTGCTCCCCACGACAAAATGCCAACAGTGGGTTGGCCTTCGTGCGGGCAATGTAGAGGAGAGCATTACGTATGAGAGAATCACGTTCCACGTTGCGCACAAACGAGGCCACCACTCCTGGTCGCACTTCCGGTTGTGCTGCAAGCCATCCCAACTTTTTCACTGTTTCCATTGCTTTTGAAGGGTGCAGTCTGCCAGTCACTGCTTCGCATAAGGCTGCATGCTCAGCACTTAAAACATATGCAGAGTACGTGTTTTCCTCTGTGGCTTCCTCGTCCTCGGAGCTAGACGAGAAGAGCTCGCGCATCAGTTGCTTAGTAACCCGAGCCTTTTTGCTCGCTGGCCCCCGATGCACTTTCTTGTTGTCTTTCGCCTGGTCCCATACGTGGCAAAAAAAGTAACCCAGTTACACAGATAAACAGGTCACATTTGCAAATAGCTAGTGGCCTTCGTTAGCAACATTGTAACCTTGCATTGCAAGCGGTTTACTTAAGAGGCAGTCAAAAAGTTCCCACAATGATTGTTCAACCTGCTGATGTTACGACCTATGAGCATTGCCTGCCTATTCACCCTTGAAGTAAGACACCTGTATGCACAAATGCCTGCTAAATCACTCCTGCCATTGTTGGAAGCAGCGATAGAAGGTCGATTTCAGACTCTGTAGGAGCTTACTCCTTTCATTCGCTTATAACATGCCAAGCCACAAACTGGCTGTTGGGCAGCGATTATGTAGGGCAGCCAAGATTAGTAGGCTTGTGTGAATAGTGAATATTCGGTCCGAATCGAATAGAATATATGATGTATAAAAGAAAATGGGCGTATTCAATTTGACGTAACTAACCTACACAATATCTTTTTTTTTTTAAACAAGGCCTCTATGCAAGAGCTTTTTTTTATTTTTTCATTTGAAGAAAGCTTTAAGAAGTAGCAGGATTTCACTTTCAGTAGGATGCAAGTGATAACCTGTAAAATACGTAACATTATTCATTACAGCTAGAGTGTATGAGCTGGTAAAACAAGCTTTTAAGCTTAAAAAGTGATCATTCGATTTGAGGATAATATGTTCATTTAAAGGAACCCTGGAACAATTTTTCAAGAAATGGATTCACTAAGGAAGCTTATTGCCTGATGAATTACCCGCTGCAAAAATTATTAGAATTTGTCCAGTATGAGTAAAGTCAGTAAGATTTGCCACATGCTGCAATTGCATTCTCTCTTCTCGGACGAAAGCGCTTGATGCAAAGCCAAGTGAGATGGCCTAGAAAAAGAAAATATGTCACACGAGTGTCATGACCTTGGGCACTCTTTCTCTCTGTTTTTTCTTTCTTTGAATATGCGGCTTTTCAGTGCGATTGCACATGTAAGTGTGGGCATGTCACGGCCTCCTGCAGTGGCCCCAGTAAACACTGAGCACCCCATGCTCAAATCATCCAATGGCTGGTACAATGGCTGGGACGAGCGATTTTTTACATTGTGGCGTCATTAGCCGAGAAGAGAGCAATTTTTATCTGACTGAGAGTTTATTGTGAATTCCAGGTCCCGTACTGCGCTATAATATTTAGCTCCCGTGTTCTCGGTAGCCTCAACAGTGTTTGCTGACCTTGCTCAAAAAGTGTTGCAGGGCCCCTTTAAATTTAAAGTGGGGCTTCGTGTCAAAGCCAATTTTCCCTGAATAGGCGCCTTCATGGTTTAGCACCACTATACTGCAGTGAAACCACCTTTATAAGCAATTACATGCAGTCCAGTATGCACCTATTCGTTCATGTTGAATACTTCGAAATATTCGATCATTTTAATTCGAATTGAATCGAATTTAAGTACTCTAATATTCATTCAAATACTTGAAGCATTCGAATATTCGCACAAGTTTAAAGATTAGCCTTCCGAGCATCCCTCAGCCACTTGTACTCCCTGAATATTGCTCCTCGTGACTTGTGGCTGTTCCTTACTTTAAAATAGGGGATATTCATAATGTACAGAAAAGTATGTTGAAAATCCCATAAGCTGAATCCACCATGTTTTGTTGGTTGCGAAAACAAAACCAGTCGCATGTTGCAGCCTTTCAGATGCTTGGTGCTGGGTTTTTTGTTTTTTTTTTTTTTTTTTCATCTTCGTTCTGCGATGGCTGCCCAATTCTTCATCTTACGCTGTTCGGGCAACAAGGATGCCCTGAAAATGCTGTAAATAAGGTAGCACTAATTTTAATCAAATTTAACAGTTACCTGAATGAAGAAAAAGGATGTACAAACACAGACTTGTTTCATCCACAAGATCGGCACTATGCTCAGTTCAGAAATGACAGGTGCACGCAAAAGCTCTCTTCAACCTTTGTTTCTATTTCTCTGATCCGCGAGAAATTTTCTAATTAGGTGGGTTTTCGAATAAACAAAACATTTAAAAAGTGGGATGCAAGGAGCTTAGAACTGTTCAAAGTAATCAGTGCTCATCGTTTGTTGTGCCGGCTAGCTAGCGGCTTCAAGAGTTACGTTTTCCAGCAATACCTGGTCTTAATTTTGCGGCAAACACGGAGGAACGCTGGGCCTCGCTGCTGCCACTGAAAAAAAAAAAAATTCCGCCATATCCACGAAGTGAATGATGATGAGTGGGCGAAGCTCCGGAGGTAAACCTGGTAAACCATGAATCCTCTGTACATTTTGCCCACTCGATTTTATTACATCGCTTCCCCTAGCGACGTCGCCGCACTAAATCGAACGATTGCCTTCAACCAATGACACGCGCCATATGTGACATCATTCCTATTTTATAAGATCTCGCGTCTTTCATCAACTACAAGTACCGCTTTCTAGTTTATAACATCTTGCATCTTTTCATCATCAGCTACAAGTACCACCATCTAGTAAACACTACAAGAACTAAACGAGAGGTGGCTACATACAGGAGACGGTACCGCCATCTAGTGAACACTGCAAGAACTAAACTAGAGGTGGCTACATACAGGCTACAGGGGACGCACAGCCCACGCCCTAAGGAGCTTCGCCCCTAAAAAATAAAACGCTGTCGTGATCAACTAAAATGTGCGCCTGCGAAAAACGAAACATCTTCACTGCAACACAGTAGTGATTTGTGGGCAGCATATCACCTGCACCTTGCTGTGTCAGCACGTCATGCGACCACTGGCACATTCTTTCTGATATAATTGGGAATTTAATAATGGCCAGTATGACGAAACTCGTGATGAGTTCTGGCTGGCAAAAATGATTTTTGATTTTTGAAACTTTCAAGCCTAGTTTTCGAAGTAGGTGTTGCTGGCACGAACTCTACCAGCAGTGCAAATGCACAAATTGCAGCAACCTGCAATCGGAGGTTTGCATACATCGCGAATTCCACCAAAGTGTACATTATTAATAATGTCTTCACGATCTCAGACGGAATAAGTGAACCATGACCCACTGACGTTGCTAGAAATATGCAATATGCTGCCCGCGCGTCAGCGCTCTATTGCAGTGAAGCACGTCCAGTTTTCATCAGGCAAACGTTTTGGTTGACCACTTGACTGTTTTCTTTTTTTTTTTTGCACTAAAAGTAGCAAGGCCGGGGTGCTTCAGCTACCACTCATCAGTATCCCTACGTTGCATTGCCTTGTGGCTATTAAGGACCATCATTTCGGCGGGTTTGCGGCGAAATCGGGATGTGAAACTGGCACATTGCATTCAAAGTTTTCTAATTAACCGGACTGGTGCCAGCCGCCGTTTCAAATTATTCTCTAAAACTTACATTGCAAAATAGGGGACCGCGAAAATCTTTCGAATTAAGCGGAATTTCGAAATAACATTTCGCGGGGACAATACGTGGCTATTGCACAAATAACTTCTTCCTCTATTAGGTAGTCGGAAAGAAGGAGGGGGTCTTTATTTCAGATTCTATGGCATACCGTATTTACTCACATACTTTGCACACTTTTTTTCGCGAATTTGGAGCCCCCAAGAAGAGGGTGTGCAAATTACGCGGGGATTTCACAAGTGCATACTAATTATTGTGCCACAGTCCTATTGCACTGAGTATACATTTTTAAAGAAAGAAATAAATTGCAGCACAAACCAAGTGTACTTGTTCATTTTGAAAGAATTAGCGCATACTTTAACCAGTCAGATCCAGTCACGCGCAATCTAACTGCGAATTACGGATTGCGAAGTCTGATTAGAAAATCATCACCGCGGCCGCTCCCGCCGCCCTCCCGGAGCGCATCGATCCTCAGTTCCGTCGAAAGCGTTTGAAAGCCCCATTTTTCTTGAAGCTCGTTTGACAATGCTGGTAGAAACTAGGTCCCATGACACGGCGATACCAGAAGAACAAAGCATCTGCGCATAATTTAAAAGGCCTTCTTCAGTGGCAGAAAACTTCCATTAGCAAGCACGTACTCTTCTGCTTTCTCCCGTATCGATCGGCCCTATCGTCAACTACGTCCCCTTGAAGTGATTTGCGCCGGCACGCCTACCGTTTTCTTCGGCGAAATTTACAATACTGAGTTTCAATTTCCCCGTATATATAATTACTGTACCACATTGCAAGGAAACCATCAAAACGTGCGGGCGAGGAATGGCAAAACCTAAATTTCCGAGATCGACTAAGCGTGCATTGCAGAGTGGACGCAGAGAACGAGGGGAACAGTTCACGACAGGCCCTCGCACACCTCCGATGCAGAAAGTTGCCCGTGCTGTGACGCGAACGTGCAGTCTCGCCATTATCGCAGGCGGTACAGATTGGGAGATAGGGGAAGGCAAACGCTCGAACAGTTCCGGCGACCCATCAACAGGTTTGAGTTCAGGCGCGGTATTCTAGGGACTCCAGTTCGGGGGAAGTCCTCGGAAGAAGCCACTTGCACTCGCCATTTGTTTGACTGCGCTCATCTGCTCGGCGAGGCCCGCACCCGCCCGAAGCATCGAAACGTCCAAAGGTGCGCATGCATCGAGATGGTTCGGGAGGGTCATGGAGCACGAAATATGTGAGTAAATATTTTTTTCCCGAAAAGCTCTCGAAATATTAGGGAGCGCACAAATTACGCAAAGGACAAAATTATGCGCGTAAATACGGTACATGTGCGAACACAGCAGGAACCGCTTGAAGAACAGCGAGCACGGCAGTTGAACACCATAAGGTCGGTGTTTTAAGTTGGTTTGATCGTGAATATAAATCGAGATTCTTCGGTCACGAACATACAGTCGACTCCTCTTAAAGGGAACTCGAAGGGTATCCATAAAACTGTTCCATTTATCAGAAGTTCAATTTAAGCAAAGTACACTTAATTAGCAAATTAAAACCTTTATTTAAATTGCACAAACCTCACCTTACTCATGAGGATGAGCAGGAGAAAAAAAAAGAAGTGAAGGGTGGTTTAATTGGCAAGCTTGCATT